AAACATGGGAATTTTTGGATCCGTTAGCCATATTTTTACCACAAGTATTGTTTCTATCTTTTAGAACCTCCCAAACATCATCTTCCTCAAAGTCTCCATCTCTCAAGGCCCTCCAAACTCCACTGGCCTGCCTTATTAGGCCATACCTATTCTCCATTGCTGATTATCCCCTGCCTACCTATCCAAGGAAATTGAAACAGCAAACAATAAATACAAGTTCGAGAGACAAGAGATTTTTTTTAAAAAAAATTTATTCAAGCGATATTCTAATCCAATCTAAACTACGGGGAAAGAGATTTGAACTATGAAAAGATTCTTGAGATTACTTAAGAGGATTTGGGTGCAAAAACTCAAGAGCAAAACCCTTGAAAAAGATGTCTCGTTTGAGGGAAATAAGAATCTACCTTTCTGTGATTGACAAGCACCACCAGGCACCACTACTTTCCCAAGATTCCAATCAAAGGGATATCTCTGCAACATGGGAAAGCAAACACCAAGTTAAAGAGAAAGGTTCTGCAGATGATGATTTTCTTTTCTTTTCTTTTCTTTTACAAGAAAATTGAAAGCACAAGAAAGTTTTGACAAGAATTTTACCTGAGTGACTGAATTTGAAAGAGTTCCACTAGGAAGGGGTAGATATTATGGAGCAGGGAAGCAGCAGCCACAAGTGGAAAAGGCCAGTGAAAAGTGGCATGCATAAGACAGACCGCCCTTTTGTAGATCTCCCAGCTGATGGTTTTCCATGAAACTTCTTTTGGTTCCCAACAAGTTTTGACTTTGAATTCAAGAAGAAAGGTAAATAAAACCCAAAGGTAAACTCAAGCCACCAACGTTCTTCGTTTGGCAAAAGTCGGGAAAAAACGTTTATTGTATGCGGTCTTACCTTTACTCTATAAAGATGCCGTTTTTACGATTGAAACCCAAACATTTCGGTCACAAAATAACTACCTTTCTATGGTGATTCCAAATAAAAAAAATATTCCTTGGTAAATATTATTTGGGGAGTAAGTATCGTCTATTTATTTATTTATTATTTAGAGAAAAAGAAAGAAACAGCTAATGTATGGCAAGGAATGAGGATGCTGAATTGATGGATTGCTTCAGATTAGGAGTGGGATGCTTTCCATTCGAACCCCACTTGGATTTTTCAAGTTACTTATCATTTCATTTTTATATATTATTAAAACAAATAATACAGGAATATTCTAATGCAGAATTAATTAATAAGTTTCTTTGCCTTGTGTTGCTGTGCTTCTGTTTCCTCAGATTTTATTCCTCATTCTTTTTCAGGCCAGCCGTAGCAGATATGCACATGTTTAATTTAGAAAATGTTTTACTCCCCAATTGTTAGATTCTATAATTTTATAGTTATAAGCAAAGAATCAGAGTCAACAGCTGTGACTTAAGCAGCTGCGAAATTTGTTGTAACCAAATATTTGCATAAATACCAAAATAAGGAAAACGATTTTTAGAAAAGGAGAAATCGAAAATGTGAAAATTGTTACACCAAAAGAAAAACCGTTAGAAATAGTAGTTAGGTATTATAATGAATAGAAAGAGTTGAAAGACTTGTTGAGTGTGTGGTAAACTTTTTTTTGTAAAAGTGCTTTTAACAAGGTTTAGGGTTTAGGGTCTAAATACAAAAAAATAGTGCTTGAATGTATGATAAACTTTTATATAAGTTGTTATGAATATGTTAAATGACTAAAAATGATATGATATTTAATATGATATAATAATTGTCAAAGCAAATAATTAAGGGCAATTATTGTAATTTTGTAAAATATGTGAATGTATTATTGTCATTTGAAAATTTTCTTGAATAAACATTGATTAATATGCTTTGACAAAAACAAAAGCACTTTTTTTAGAAGCATGTAGTACTAGTTTGGTACTGCTTAAATTTTTTTAAAAGCAGGGGTGAAAAACAATTGACCTGAAAATTGTGTTTGGTAACAAAGCAAAAGAGAGCTTATTTCTGAAGTTACAGTCAGAAAAAGCTGAAATCTGGAAGAAGATATTTGCTGCTTTGAAAAACCATCATTTTTTTCTTGAAACATGGGTGAACAGTGTGTTTAATGAAAGTTTTTAAATGCCGATCCTACCCTCTTTTTGTCGCTCCATCATACCGACAAAAAATTTCATCTGGAACTATTCTCACAACTTTGATAGAGAATGGCAGAAAGAATACGAACCTGAAACTTCATTCCCTTTGCTTATTAGATGGTAGGAGAGAAAGATTCGAGAGTCCAACCCCTTTTTGAACCCCGACCTACCCTCTTCAACTAATTTCCTCCCTCACAATGAACTCCCCATCCCACCCAAGCCCCTTTCTTCCAATGCAACCATACCCAAAACCCAGCCCGATTCTACCGATGCAACCTGCCCAAAACCCAATATTAATATTCTGGGTGAAAAAATTAGAAAAAATTAGAATTAGATGCCTTATTTTAGACTTTTGTAGACTAAATATTTATGCTTTTTGAGTTTTTGATTAACCTTTTGAAGTATTTGATTACAATACTCAGACTTGAACTACTTCAGATTAATTGAAATTAATTTACATTTAAATATCTTCTATATATTTTAAATAATTTCAACTATATTTAAGTCTAAAAATTTAAACTTTTCAAATCTAAATGTACACCCACGCCAAATGGAAACATACCAACATTAAATGAAAATGTATTAACGTTAAACAAAAACGTACCAACCCCGAATTAAAACGTACCCAATTATAAACTATATTAAAATGAATATTTATTCTTTTGGAATGTTTAAAAATATGTTTGATTCATACACAATGCCCTAGATAGTCTTGTTTTTTGGTAGATAAGTCTCTGGAACAACTTTTAGTTGATCGAAGATAAATCCTTATTATTGTAGATAATGCTAAATAATAACGATAAATCATATAATTTTGAATTAACAAAAAGTCTATTGTCCGTTGATCAATGACTCTTTCTATAAATAATAATAATAATAATAATTAATTAAAGTAATTTAAACTTTTACATTGTTCACGACTCTTTCCATAAAAAAAAAAATTAATTAAAGTAATTCCTCGTTGTGAGGACAAAATGTAATAAAACTTATGTTTTGAAAATAAACGTACCAAAAATTCAAATGTACCACAAAGCTAAATGGACCAAAAATTCAAATGTATCAAGTAACTAAATGTACCATTATAATCAAACATACCGCTATAACCAAACATACCTAATAACGAGTTTTGTTACATTCTATTTACTTTACTAAAATAAATATTTTAATAAAAATAAAAATCTTAAATCATCATAATGAGAGATGCATAAAAATAGGTAGAAAAGGAAAAAAGGGAATGATAACGTGAATAAACTTCTAATGAAATAAATTTAAAGTACCAAAATTGTAGGGAAAATGTTTAATCAAATTTGCAAAAAGAATAGATGTTTAATTTAAACGAAGTGTCTATATCAAAACGTCCCAAAAAATTAATGGGTATTGGAAATGCAAGCTTTTCTGGGAGGTAAAGGTGGGGATGATGTCGATATTGAGAACAATGCTATTTTTTTTTTGGCAAATGAAAATGGAGAAGATGAAATTGAAGAACACGAAGACGACGGAAAAAACGAAGAAGAAATAAAGCCTGGAGAATATGAGGGAGAGGACAGTTCTAGAAAGAGATGTATAAATAATTATTTTATTATATTATTTAGACTATCATATCATTTTCAGTCATTTAACATAGTTATAGCAGTTTTATATAAAAGTTTATCAAATATTTGGACACTGTTTTTTTTTTTTTTTTAAATTTTATCAAAAGCACTTTTATAAAAATATTTCCCAAACACTAATTGCTTTAATTTATAGTTTCTTATTCTTACAGCAAAGTAGAAACAATTTTTTTTAAAAACACAGCAATACCAAACTAACCCGTAGAGTATGCTTCTCCTTTTTCATGTTTTTCTATTGTCATTGACAAACTTAAGGACCATTTTTATCAATTTCAAATCTTAAGAATCAAAGTGAGTAGTTATGCCAATCTCAAAGATCATTTTAGCTAAAAAAACTTTTTCATTTTGAGCGGTCGAGGACATTTTAGGAAGGACAAAAACAAGATAAAAGTGATGCATGCATGTGCGATGAAGAAATGTGAGTAGAATCAAGACAAGAAAATAAAATTGCAACTGTGGATTGAAAGGACTAAATTTTGAATGTCCTTGCTGTTGTAAACAGCATGTCGAGGAGCCGACATTCATCGTATTTGGGCGTACCAAGTCGCATTATCAGAGGACAAAAAACACGAGCAATTGCCACCATTTGCTCGCTCAAAAGTGTGATCACTTAAAAAACAAGCACAAGAATCTCTCAGGGAAAAGCATCCTTAAAACTTACTATTAATAAGAAAACATCGGAATAAAGTTGTTGACTCTTACTGCTAATGTGGTGCAATGCATATGCATTAGATGGCTGTGGCGGCAAAGTTATGCAGTGGGGTTTCTTACAAACAAATTGAAACCGTAAACTTATCTCGTGTTTACTTATTTGGAATAGGGAAAGCCATGAATTAGAGAAGTCATAACTCATAAATATAGAAGACAAAACATGACCGAGGGATCGGTTGCCCCTCCTAAACGAATCAAGCTAGTTCTCGATTTTTTCATGTATCAAATTATTGATAGTATTGTGGGATTCACATGCTTTTTGGTTCTGTAAGCGTTGATGGACTCATGTGAAATAAAGAACGAGACTAATTTCAATATTCATTCCGAGTAAGTGAACATTCTATTCGGGCAACGTTGTTCTATGCCACTCTTGTTGTAATTTCTGGATTTTGTCCTGAGTTTATACGTTTATGTCTCACTAATGGCTATTACGTATCCTAATCCATGGGAGTGTATTCAGATTAGGAGCACAAGATCTTCTTGATTCTTGTATTTTTCACTACGTGATATCATCTGTAACTCCACATTTCTAATCTGTGGACACAATCAACTGAGCAAGTTTAGTCAGAGAAGTAGAAGATGGAAATATATGATTCACATATGAAGCTCCAATCCTGCCAACAATTCCAATTCACAAATAACGGGATCTGCTTTTGTTTTATCTTGAACAATGTGGCACAAAAACTGAACAAAGAACGAGGAATATCCCGCGATTACTCAAACTCCTTGAGTGCCTCAGCTCCAGCAACAATCTCCAATATCTCACCTGTAATCTTTCCCTGTCGTTGCCGATTGTAAACATTCGAAAGAGTCTTCGTCAAGTCGACTGCATTGTCAGTGGCATTACTCATAGCATTCATTCTCGCTGCGAGCTCACTTGCTGTTGATTCCTGTAGTGCCTTCAGAATCTGGCTGTTCAAGTAGAGAGGCATCATGGCATCAAGGATCTGAACAGGGTCTTGTTCAAATTCCATAACCGGCGAAAGCCCTTCCCTCTTTATCTTCACACTCTCCCTCTCCACACTCAGTTTGCCTTTTTTAGTTGTCAACCTAAAGAACTCATCCTCCATTGCATCGACGCTACTCCCATTCACATCAACAACCTCTCCCCTCGGCGACAATGGAAGCAATGTATGAATAACCGGTTCGGATTTCACCAACGACGCGAATTTAGTGTACACAAGCTCAACTTTATCAACCTCTTCGCTAACAAACAGCGAAAAAACGTCATCAGCAATGACCTGAGCCTCTTTTGCTGTTGCAAACAACCCACCTTCAATAAACCTATCAACACAAATCTCAGGCCTACGCATGAAATACGAGTTACCCTTTTTGCCAACACTGATCAGAGTGAAATCCAACCCAAGTTTCTTCAATTCCGCGATTCGGGCCTCGGTCTTTTTGACCACGGAGTTGTTGAAGCCGCCGCAGAGGCCTCGGTCGGCTGTGATGACGACAATGGCAACTTTCCTGACGGGTCTAACATTTGTGAGAGGGACGTCAATGTCTTCACACTGAAGCTGCTCATTGATGTCGTACAGGACCTCCACAAGCGTCTCAGCAAAGGGTCGGCCATTGATAACTGCTTCCTGGGCCCTTCGAACCCTGGCAGCCGCCACGAGCTTCATGGCTTCGGTGATTTTCTGGGTATTTTTTATGGAATCGATTCGGCCTCGGAGCTTACGCAGACCGCAGCGGGTTGCTGAAGATCGAGAATGGAGAGGTTGGGGTGAGATTTGGGGCAAAAGGGGTTTAGGGTTTTGGAGAAATGTGTTGGAAAATAGGGGTTTTGCAGATACCCACATGATTGAATTGGACATCGCCATTGGGTTCTGGTTTTGGTTTTGCAGAAATTAAGCGAATTCAAAATCTCTGCAATACACCTAATTGGATTGAAGCTTTACGAAAGTATCAAAATTGAAAATTCCTATGGGGAATTGTATCTTCGCAACAACATTTTTGTTGGTGGAAATTTTTACTCCTGAGATTTGTGGAGTCAGGACTCAGGAGTCAATTTGACTAGAGTTGGCTTGAGATGGACTGTGGAGCTGAGCATATGTTTTGGATTCTCCGGCGAGGTTTAAACCCAATACTACAGAGCGGTATCTAACTATTCGATTACCGAACGAGGTCATTCATCGTTGAGGAAGAATTAATGGAAAGTTTACATGAGAAATTTTATTTCAACCCATATAATATCATTTTACACTTAATTTAAATTTTGAACGTGAATTATTTTTTAATCTTATTGCATAATTACCATCAAGTACAAATATAATTAACAATAAAACAAACATTTATCAGTAAACCCACTCTAAAAAATTAAACCCTACCATCATACAATGTTTATCATACCTTCATTCCAGCTAAAACTCTAAGAGCACTCATAGAGAAAAACAAGCTTTTATTAGAATGGAGAAAAAATAAATTTTTGGGTTTCAATTCACAGCTATCAACGTTAGAAGTTGAGAAGATGGGGTTTTGAGTTTCGCAATGTGTATGGTGGTGAAACCTCCACTACCGATTTGGTTTCCTCGAAGGTTTAGACAAATCTTATAATTCAATGTCTCTCTCATCCCTTCATGCAGTTTGGTTTCCCCTACCAATTTGGTTTCCTCGACGGTTTAGGCATATACTACTTGCCTCATCTCTTTCATGCATTTTTGGCAAATACAATAATTCCACTTTTCTCTCATCCTTTCATGCAGTTTTGGCAAATATTATTTTCTTCTTCCAATTTTTTCTTTTTTACTAGATATAATGGAGAAGTATACAGAGGAGTAGCAATGACATTGAGTTATGAGGATTGAGGCTTAAGGATTTTCACCCTTTTAACCTAATATCCTTTCAAATTCGACAGAAAAAAACTCTTATATTCTTCTCAACAATCACAACATTTTGTCAAATTCAAGCCATACAATCTGAAGGGGAAACTAATAAAGAAGTTATTATTAGTATATGGAAGATTCGTAAACAATAGAACCTCACCAAATTATTTAATGTGAGATTTTATTTCCTAAAGGACTGTAAAGATAAATTTACATTTTGAATTGAGTTTGTGAGGTTAATTTAGGTAGTAAATTTGGGTTTAAAGAGATATTAAGTATTTAATTAAAAATAATAGAATGTAGAGAGTAAGTTGAGTGTAAAAAGAAGTTATGTGTTCAAATAAAACTTCCCTTAACCATTTTTTCTCTGACCAAGAAGTTAGGTTTAAATTCAGAGAAATTGCATAATAACGGTGGAAGTCCTCCAAACTCCAAAGTACCAACTTCATGAAAACTCTTGAGATTGTGTACGATGATATTCATTAAAACATGGAATGCATAAGTAAAAAATAAGGATTGGAGTAGGGTTCGGATTCATTCGGTTCAGTTTTTTTTGTTAAAATTGAAATTACTATTTAGTTCAATTTTGTTTTAACTTTTTATTTTTACAGTTGGATTTTGGTTATAAATTTTTTTTTCTTTTAACCTATAAATTGGAGAGAAAATGAAGGAAAAAAAAAATCTAGAGTTTCTACATATTTAGACTCAAAGTTGCGTTTACCTATGGAATAGCCTTCCAACAATGTTCTCACACTTTCTCACCATTTGGTGTAAATATAATGTTGTATTAAAAGTGTGTATATATATATATATATATATTTTTTTTTTTTTTGAACAAACAATATTTGAATTATTTTTAATTAAAAACTAAAATATTTGTAAAAGTAGATTACGATAATAAACAAAAATAGTTAAAGTGTTTGTAAAGTTAAATTACCATAACATAACAAAAAATATTTGACATTAACGAAACATTTATTTTTTTAAATGAATTGTACTTTTTATTACAAGCAACATACAACCATTTTAATTCACATAGAAAGGAATAAGGGTCAAAACCAAGAAGTTTAATCAGAAGCAAAGACTTTGTCATTTAATATTAGAGTCTAGTGATATTTATTTTCATTTATAAATTAAATATTTTAAACTTAATTATCTTTAAATACGAATTTGAACCATAGTATAATGGTTGGCCGAAGGTAAGGCTAACCTACACTTCTACGAACAATCCAACGTTCACGAAATATCGAGGCTAAAAAAGTTGTTTGAGGGTTTGGCCCAAAGCCCAATTTGTGTCCTGACGCCTAACCCGGTCATGCATTTCAAAATCGGGTTGAACCGTACCAGCTCCACCCCAAACACCAGCAATCAACCATCGCGACAAGGAGGCTTTAAGCGGTGTTATTTTGACCGTCGACGAGTTGTGGCTTTTTAATTAGTGACTCCTCTCCAGGAAGATGCTTTAGCAGAACACATACCAAACTCAAATCCAGAACCTCCGTAGAAACAAAGCAAACTTTGGATTGCAATTCTTGGGCATCGAAGACGATGGTGGTAATGTTTCATTGAATCCCTTTTGAAATTTAATTGAATTGGGGGAGAGAAATGTCGAAGCTTTTTCAGAAGGTTGCTGGGTTCTTCACCAATCGGACTGTGGTGGGAATGGACAAAGCTGGCAACCGTTACTTCGCCAGAAAGGAGGAGGTCGATGGCATCAGTAAGTCTCTCTCTCTATTGTTTGTTGCTTTCGTTTCTGCTGCAATTTTGACTCGTGGGTTTTGTTCAGTTTGCGTTTTGTGATTGAATCCCTTGAATTTGCCAATTGGGTTGTCATTATTGTGCTTCAAAATTTGCTACATGGGATTTAAAGGAATTGCATTGATTTCTTGAGGTGTGAATTGAACTCTTTGAAGATTTATGATTGCATTTCCTAACTTCGTAAGCGTTGTTCCTATATTTTGTTTTGGATTCAGGTAAACACATTAGAAAAAAAGATTGTTCAATTTAGGAACTAAAGTTAGAGAAGTGGAATTACTTCCCCTATTGAGTTGCCAGGACCAATGAAAGATTTAATAGCAGCCATTACCTCTTTCCCGCCGTATGCCAAAGTTAGAGTGAAGAAAAGATCAGCGTTACCATTTGCACCTGGAGTGTTGTCGTTTTTCATTGAAACAGTTGTGTGTTAATCTCTTTCTATTACTTTGGTTGCTGGCAGAGGCCTTTTCCTTCTTAGATTGATACTGCAAGTATATAACGTAGTGTATAATATTTGTAATTCTGTATAATTTATAAAATGGAAGCCATTATAGCTAATATCTCATGTTAACCATTTATAGTTTCCAAAAGCATGTGTTCTGATTAGTTGAGCTGAGTATTTATTATATGAAAATGAAATACCAAAGTTTGCATTGAGTTGTTTGTCAAGAGCGAGATAATCGATTACAATGTGGTATAGCTTAAAGAATATGAAGCTATATTTGTAATTTGTGCGGGAGTATTATTCTGTGGTCAACTCACTCAAGTACTAGCATGATTAATGCCCTTTTTGTCCCACTCTCTCTGATGCACCAGTGAAAGAGAAAAGATGGGTGGCATTCAAGGGTGAGGACGATCCGACCTCAATTCCAGGTAATTTGTTTGGACCTAGTACAGCTTTTGTTCAGTTTCAAAATCTTGGTCACTTGTTTCGAAGTATTTTCCCTTGAGTTATCAGATTAATGAAACGGGTACTCCATTTTGGGATGTTGAAATATGGTATAACTACCTATCCATATATACACTTTTGGTATATACTGTCATTTGGAAATTGGAATGCATTTATTTATGGCCTTTCCTCTACCTTCTTTATGTTCACTCTTTGATCATTTTAGTTGAGTGGATATGTTGGCTCAACGGGCAGAGGAAAAGGGCTCCAACACCGGAGGTAATCTTGACATCTGTTTGTCTTTAATTCCTTGGTGTAATAAAGAGGAGAAGTTTGTTTAGATTTGGTTGGTAAAAAAGATGGAATATTTTTATGTTACCATTTATTTTGAGTCACCATTGACTCGTCTTTCTAGACGCTCATGCTATAATGCACACCTTTTTCTCATACTGATATCTAATTCTTGTCTAAGAGATAGTTTGTTATTGTCGTTTCATTTCTGCTGCTTGACAATCTTTTCTATTCCTCAGGAACTGGCAGAATTGGAAGCTAGACGTGAACGTGTCCGGCAGAATGTTGCTCGTATGTGCCATCTCTATCATTAGTTTCTGGTTGCTTCTACTACTTTCTGGCTCTCTTTGAACCATTGAGTTGTAGGTTTGCTAAGAAGTTTTTATTACAATTTCATTACTGAACTTGTGACTTCTGTAGGAATTTCAATCAAAATGTAGGACAAGTGAATCAAGGCATGCAATAGTTGCATATTAACGTAGTATGTCTTTGTCATAAATTTCTGAGATAAGAGAAGAGATATAGAGAATGAAAGAGAGACATCTACACAGCCAAAGATAGTGGCTACTAGTATAAGATTAGCCCTCACCAGCCTTAAAATAGACCTTGTAGTGGTAAATACTTGAATGCTGCCAATAGTGGCGAGAAAAAAGTTATCTTACTTTCATTTCTTATGTGTCAAATTTAACCCAGATAGCTGGTATCATCTTAGTCAAAAGATTACTCTTAATGGACTGTTCTCTGTATCTTTGAAATATTTATGCAGATCCATATTGGGATCTGGCATAAAATTTTGATACGTCGATTTAAATCAGCTTTAAGTGCGTTCTATATTTTATTCAATGAATCCCATTGTTGATGTATTTTCTTTGAGGACAAACAAGTTTTTCTTCTTATCATGACATCTTTAAAGCTTCAGTGGGAAATTGAATTGGCTTTACTTTCAGTTTTCTATTTGATACAGAGACTTTAAGAAACATATATTATTTATTTGTTTTTTATTTCTCAAAGTTCTAAAGAAAGAAGAAGAGGAAAGGAAAGCAAGAGAAGGCAGTACGCGCAAAGTCATCAACACCGGTCAGCTTCTTACTGGAACCTCTATGATATCTGTACCCCTATGCTCATACAATTATTCACAATTATGAGCTATGTTTATAGATAAAGTTGGAGGTCCAGACTTGAAAAGTTTCATTCAGCAATTTCCTGGGTCTTCTGAAGGTAACTTGTCATTTGTACCCTACCCACCCTCACATACATGTTTAGGATGAGGATTTTTATCGTAAGGCTTTCTTTTAGAATGCAAAATCATTCAGTTTTTATCCTGCAAAACCACTTGTCATATTCTGTCAAGGCAGATTATGCCAGATTATATGAATTTTTTTACAGAAAGGTTTTGTAGAATAAGGAGTTTTATTTAAAGATTGCAGAATCTTCATTCCTTGTTGGTCCTGCGGAGCATCAAAATTTGTTGCCTTAATTTTGTTTTTTGGAGGTAGAATGTGCCAAATTAATTTGCTTTCTGATGTTTGTCTTCCTTGTTTCTTCACAAAGGTGGCCTAAATCCGGAAGAATCTGTTGCCACGGAAGGAGTGAGGTAGGTCTGCTAACACACAAGGATTATGAATGATGAAGTTAAATAACAAGCACTACTAATGAGATTATAGCATTTATGTTTCCTTGAAATTTCATCTTGATACGATTACCGAAGGAAAATAAAACAAAGAAACATAACTCCATGACTTATACCCTGCTCCAGTTTCTTTTGTCACACATATTTCATATTTCTTTATGGCCATGTCATGTCTTTATGTTTACATTGTTGTGTTGTTAACATGGCACAGGAACTCCAAAGAGAAAGAGGCAAAGAAAGCAAAAGAAGCTCCGGAGTATGTTCCATATTCCTCATCTGCATGTTTGCTCGAGCATCACTACTTACATATTGAAATCATGAACAATGTGATAATGATGGGAATCTGTGAATTTCCTTCCTCTGAAATTTATAAACAAAGAGACTCAGAAGATATTTTAAATAGTGACGTATATTAGGATAAATTTCATTTTCCCTAGTTTTCCCCCAAATTGCCTGCTGGATTGATGATTCTACATGTTGAACTTTTCTTCCAGGTCGACCGAACCAACAGGATCTGGCCAAACATTCAGGCCAGGGACATGGCAGCCACCAACATGAAGTCGAATTGGTAATGCCATAATGCATAATTTAAGGGTCCAACTACGCTAACCCTTGAGTCCAAGCATAATGCACTGATTTGTTCTTCCGGTGCCAAAGAGTGTAGCTGAGTTGTTAGAATGTTAGTGAATCTCTTATGGTTGTAGCCTTGTAGGGCGCTTCGGCACAATGCAGTGCATTTGATTTTTGTTTGCCCTGTCAGATCCAAAGAAAAGAAAAACAAGCACAATACATCCTTCATTTTTAGTTTTCTGACAGGGGAATACAGAGCCAAATTTTTGTTACATTCACATATGTCGAAGTCGCCATGACTTGCGTACGAATTTTGTTGTGTGATGAAGGTCTTAAGAGGAGATAAATTTAAGGCTATGTGTCATATCATTCCAAATGCCTGCAGTCATGGGTTGTATGTAATGCAGAACGCTCTCAACAATTTCAAGAGAAATAATCAGCTTAAGACATTTATTATTAATTTTCTCCTTCTTTTCCTTTTTTTGGGTTTTCTCTTCTCATACCTTCCTTACTTTCATGCATTCCCATTTTTTGTGATTGGAAACGAAAAATATATGAAATTTGAAAATCTAATTTTTGTTGTGGTCTATTTTATCTGACAAGGAAAGAGAGGGCCAGCGGCAAGAAGAAGAAGAAGAGAGAGAGAGAGAGAGAGAGAGAGAGAGAGATATGTTTGTAGAATTGTAGGGGAATGTGTGTGTTGTTATCCCTCCTACATTGTGCCTTTATTTATAGTAGTAAAGGAGAGAAGATATTCCTTCATCCCCAAGGAATACAAGATACAATAGGAAAGGATAACTAGAATCAAATCTAATCTAGGATTTACACAATCACACTTAAGCTAGGAACATTTACAACACTCCCTCTTGAGTGTGTAAGTACTCAAGGTAGATTTAGCATCATGCAGAAGTTGAGGAAGTTGACTCATCGATACTAATTCTAAGGAGCAACGCTTATTCTCAATAAGGTAGGAACTTGCATAAGTAGTAAGTCTTACTAAAAAACCCTAAGGCTTTGGCAAAAACCCGAGTAGGGACATAATTCATAGTCTAAGAAAAAATGCGTGAGAGATGCAAAGTCAAAAGAAACGTCTAGATGACGTCATTAGGGATATGACCAGCCCAATGTGGGTGCCTTGTTAAAACCTAGTTTGGTAGCAAAACCCCAGTGGGAAAATGGCCCCTAATCGTAGGGAAAAAGAGTACATTAAGATCAAGCAAGTATCTATAGGATACTCCCCCTGAATTTGACATACTTCCAAAGAGCAAAGTTACAAGTAAGAAAGTTTACGCATACCAATTCCATGAACAAGTTTCTGAAACGTCGTCTTCGGCAGTGATTTGGTGAAGAGGTCGGCCAGATTGTCTTGTGAATGGATTTGCATGACTTCAATCTTCTGATGCTCTTGTTGTTGATGTGAAAAGAAAAACTTCGACGCAATGTGCTTGATGTTATCTCCTTTGATGTAACCCTTCTTAAGTTGTTCGATGCAAGTTGCGTTGTCTTCAAAGATTGTCATCGGGACATTAATGGCGGGATAAAGATCGTAGGAGCTTCGAATATGACCCATTACTGCTCTCAACCAAAAGCATTCCCGAGTTGCTTCATGTAAGGCGAGAATTTCAGCATGGTTAGACGAAGTGACAATTAATGTTTGTTTAGTTGAGCTCTAAGAGATTATGGGTGGGCACTTGAAATCGAAAATTGCAACCGAAACACGAACCAAGTCGAACTGCACCAAACGGTTTGGTTTTGCGGTTTCAAAACGATTTCTGTTTGAAACCGAATCGAATAGGGGAAAAACGGTTTGATTTCGGTTCTAGCCCTCTGAAACCGAACCGAAATTGAAATCGCATACCTTTATTAAATGTTAAATTCTAATTGGTTATTTTCATTGAGTCCATACATTTAGTATGGACTCAACCACATCATAACATGGACACATAACATAATCTTTTATTTTCTTTCTTCTAGTCCGTGGACTTTGTGTTCTCTTTCTCAAATTTATTCATCTCTCTCTAGTCTCTCGGTCTCCTGCACTCTTCCAGACGCATTCTCTCTCTCAGTTTCCCTTCCGGCCTCCTTTCCTCTTCATTCCAGGCTTTCCAGCCCCTAGCTTCTAAATTTCAGAGTGCTAATATGGTAAGAACTATGATTTATAACTTGTTTTAGTTAAATTTACTTATAGATTTGAGATTAATTTTAGGGTTAGGTTTAGGGTTGGGTTTGGAATCAAAAGGGGATTTGGTTTTTCATTGGTTAGTCTTTGATTTTTCTTCGTTCATGAACATTAGAATGTCAATTGAAAGCATACATGATATTTGCGTCTTGATTATCCCGGGGTGACATGGAAGACTGAAAATGCTGCTCAACGAATGGGTTTTAATGCTTTTTTTTTTCTCTATAACTTTGTCTTCTTTGTTCCTTTTTAGTTGATATGGACTCTTAATTGATAGGAAAAGATTACCTTAGGTCCTTTCACAGCTAGATAATCACCTTCGCACATCATTGGAAGTGGTGAGACATCCTTCCTTGTGGATACATCTATCCATACGATAAAAAAAAATTAAAAAGTTATCAAACCATACAACATAGGCCAAGCAGGATAAGTGATTCATAAGAAATTTTAAAAAGAAAACAAACCTTTATGACTAATTCAAAGTATCCAACATCTGAATCCAAAGTTGTTGGGGTATATGGTTTGACGACGTGAATTTGTGATCAACTAGGTAACGTGAATTTGTTGTGGTATGAATTCTATTGTCATCAACTAGGTAACGTGAATTTGTGATGGTATCAGACCCTAAGCTTATGCCAATCGTGAATTTGTGATGCAACAAGGCAAGGAAGTCATTAAACAGACCGCCTATTGGGCAAGTCCTGGACAATCTCATCTACAATTACAGTCTGACATTTTGTGGGAAGGGTTTGGCTTAGTAAGCCAAAAAGTTCTCTTCAAACTACACTTGTATTTTAAATTTTGGATTTGTGAAGAATTTGAAATTAGTGATAACAGCAAAGCGGCTTTCCATTGGTTATGATAACCCAGAATTGCAGTTACTGGGACTTTCTTTATGTTACACTTTCTGTGTGTTTGCAACTTTACTAAAACACATCTACCACCTTTTGTTATTAAAAAAAATTTCACATAGTTTGATTGGCAGGTTCTACCAAAACCAGAGTTATTAGGATCTTTTTTATGTTTGGGTTTGCGGTACTGGCATCAGATTTGATGTGCTCTTAGTTGCCTCAAGTTGAATTATTTTGTTGTGGTCCTTGTGGATGTGAATTTTGTTGTCATCAACTACAACTAGGTAACCATAATAGTTTTTTCAAACAATGAAACCAAACCAAAACCATTTGAAACCAAACTGAACTGAACCAAATGGTTTGGTTTCATTTCGGTTTTAGCCTCAAAATTGCACTGAACCAAACCACAAAAACTTGCGGTTTTGGTTTTGGTTTCACTCAAAACCACACCAAACCGAACTGCGCCCACCCCTACAAGAGATTGCGGTGCCTCAAATGGTAAAGACATAACCTGTTTGAGAGTGCGCCTTGTGCGAATCAGATAAGTATCCTGCGCTGGCATAATCAATAGGGCGAGAATCAACTCGAGGAGCATAGGGTGCGGCACCGTTCGAGGATTCGTAGAGATAGAACAAACCCAAATCTGTAGTACCCTTAAGGTAACGAAAGATGTCTTTCACGCCAGTCCAGTGTCTGCGTGTAGGTGCATTACTATATCTTGCCAAAAGATTAACAACGAATGAGATGTCGGGTCTGGTGCATTGAGCTAAGTACAATAAAGCATTTATCGCACTTAGATAAGGAACTTCAGGCTCCAAAATCTCTTCATCATCCTCCTTCGGACGGAAGGGATCTCGTTTTGCATCTAGTGAACGAACGATCATAGGAGTACTCGAAGGCTTCACTTTATCCTTAATAAAGCGGCGCGACATCTTCTGGGTGTAGTTCGATTGATGTACTAGGATTCCATCCGAACAATGCTCTATCTTAAGATGAAGACAGTATTGAGTCTTACCTAGATCTTTCATCTCAAATTTTGACTTCAAGTGCGTGACAGTTCTCGCGAGCTCTTTAGGAGTTTCGGTAAGATTCATGTCATTGATATATACTGCAACAGTCGCAAATCCAAAATGTGACTTCTTAATGAACACACAAAGTCATAATTCATTGTTCACATACCCCTGACTAGTCAAATACGCACTCAGACGGTTACACCACATTCTTCCGGATTGTTTCAAACCGTAGAATGAACGCCTCAGTCGAATTGAGAGCGTGTTCTGGGGTTTGGAAATATTTGAACTAGTCAATGTAAGTCCTTCGGGAACTTTCATGTAAATTTCTGTATCAAGACCCATATAGAGATACACGGTTACTACATCTATCAGCTGCATATCCAGTTTTTCGGAAACTACTAAACTGATAAGGTAGCAAAAAGTAATCACATCCATAACGGGTGAATAAGTTTTGTTATAGTCAATCCCGGGGCATTGTGAGAAGCCTTGTGCAACAAGACGAGATTTGTAATGCACAATTTCGTTATTCTCAATACATTTCCGAACGAAAACCCACTTGTAGCCAACGGGCCTCACATATGGATGAGTAGGAGCTACAGGTCCAAACACCTTACGTTTCGTAAGCGAATCGAGTTTGACTTGGATTGTTTGTTTCCAGTTTGACCAATCAGTTCTACGTTGACATTCATCAACGGAACGTGGTTCAATGTCATCGCTCAACATGATCTCAGTAACTACTGCAAATGCTAATGCATCGTCGATAATCATCTCGTTTCTACACCACACATCATTTAAGTTAGCATGATGGACCGAAATCTCACAATTATCGGGATGAGGATTTGCTTCTTCAATGACGCTTCTATAATTTAGAATTTCCTCATGAGTTGGGTAGAATGAGTAAGCGATAGTTGAATTCACGGTGGGCTCTTCAAGACCTTGTGCCATGGTTTTCCTCTTCCGGGGGTGTGAATCATTTGAACTAAAGGGTTTGCTACGCTTTTGTGTAGGGGCAGATGATTGGCTAGCCACTAATGTACGTGGATCACCAAGATTGGCGTCCTGGGCTTCCACGAGAGCAGTCTGCTGTACTTTTGGTACATCCATCTTTGCAGGCGTATTCGCAGCTGGAATATGTGAAAGCATCTGGCATGCTATGAAAATCTAATATGCGATGCACTTCAGTTTCAGACTGAGCAGTGCGGGGATCTAAATGAGACAAAGTGGGAGTCGTCCACGATAATTCGTGTTGTTCTTCAGGAACGATGAATTCTTATCTCCCCCTAACAACGGGAAGACTGTCTAATAGAAGTGACAATCCACAAAACGAGCGGTAAACAGATTGCCTGTCAAAGGTTTTAAATAATGAATAATCAAAGGAGAATCATATTTGACATAGATTCCCATCTTTCGCTGAGGCCCAATTTTTGTATGTAAGGGCGGTGAGATCGGCACATATACCGCATAACCAAACATGTGCAGATGCGATATGTTGGGTTCGTATCCGGTAACTAACTGAAGGGCACTAAATGGTTATGTCGCAACAGGCCTCAGGTGGACCGACTTTGCTACGTGTAATATTGCATGGCCTCAAGCAGCGATCAGAAGCTTGGTATGTATGATCAACGATCGAGCAATCATTTGTAAACGCTTAATGAAAGCCTCTGCCAGGCTATTCTGGGTGTGAACATAGGGTACAGGATGTACAACTGCAACCCCAACCAACATGCAATAGTTATCAAAAGTTTTAGATGTGAATTTTCTAGTAGTATTTAATCGAATAGATTTGATCGGATAATCAGGATAGTGAGCCCTGAGCTTGATGACCTGAGCCAACAGTTTGCAGAATGCAGCGTTCCTTGTGGACACACGTGTGGAAGCATCAACCAAAACCATAAAATATCTGAATGGTCCGCAGGGAGGGTGAATCGGTCCACAAATGTCCCCCTGAATCCGTTGTAGAAAAATGGGAGGATTCGAATGAATCTTGTCATAAGAAGTTTTAGTAATAAGCATTCCCATCGAACATGTTTGACATATGATTCCTTGGATCGAACCTAAACTTCGGGTTAGTGGATGCCCATGTGAAGATTTAAGGATACAGTGCATTGCTATTCGTCCAGGATGTCCCAAACGATCATGCCAAAGTGTAATTTCGTGTGCGGTCCCAGTAGTAGGGCCGTCCACATAGTGGCATTCTATGGGGCGTATGGTCGCAGTAGATAGACCACTCGGGGTACGCTCTATCTTCTCTAGAATACGCTTATGGCCATATTCGTAGGAAGTTATGCATAAAAATTCAACTCCGTTTTCTACGTGGATTTCAGCGTGGTAATTGTTATCTCTAATATCCTTGAAACTCAACAACGTTCTTCCGAAACATGGAGAATAGAGTGCCTTAGAAATGGTCAAGATTTTACCATTGGACAACATTATACGTGCCTTACCGTATCCTTCTATCAAGTTGGATGGACCTGAGAGGGTTGTCAGAGGTGCATTCTTAGGTATGAAGTTAGTGAAATAGATGCGTTCACTCAAAACGCTGTGCGTGGTTGCACTATTGGCCAAACAACTAACTTTCCCACTAGTCATACCTAGAATGAAAAATTAGTTTAAATTGGTCACATGCATAAAATTTTTGAAAACAAATATCAATTCAAAATAATTTCATTTATTCAAGGATGGTAATTAATTAAAACATAATATCCAAAAAACAAATCACCAACAAATAATCCAAAACATAAAGGAAAATTGTTCAAAAATCAACCAAAAAACAAGGGGGGTTCGGCCACTAGGTGGAATTCAGCCCCATTTGCCTTGGAAGCGCAAGTGCTACCAGTCGTGTCTTGCTTCAGGCAAGAATATGTTATTTTGGTGATCAAAACGATCAGCTGAAGCGACCCATAGTGCACGTGGATCCTCCTCAGCAAGATATTCAGTTTGTAGAGTGTCATGAATATGTCTTCAGATGAAGATCATAGCAGTGGCTTTTCCAGCTTCACCACCAAGCTTGTCCGTTGCTTCTTCAATAGCAGGACGCAAGTTCTTTGCAGTGAGGTGGAACTTCATATCTTGGACCCACTTGAGGTAGTTCCTTCCAGAGATCTCCAAAGCGGTAAAGTTGAGTTTGTTCAAATTTGACATGTTCCTATCACAAAATAGATGGACAAGATGTGCTTAGTGTAATGGAGAAAAATCAATTCATTCATTTAGGAGTAGAGCATAGAGGTTTTAATAGACATGATTTGGTTTAATTTTGCATGAAAAAACTTCGGGTTTTCATGGGTGATGTGTTTAAATGAAAAACTTTAGGCTTTCAAAACAAGACATGTTTATAAGAAACTTCAGGTTTCAAAATAATTATGAACTTCAGGTTCATATATTCTTGTAGGCAAACACAAATATATATGCAAACAAATATGCAACAAGAATAAGCAAAATAGAACTTTAGGTTTACAATTATAATTGAATTATAATTATTTGGACTTCGGGCCAAATTAAAGTGTGGGTGAAAAAAATGGGCTGTGGGTCTTGGGAAGGACTGCAGGCCCACGGGGAGGATTGGGCAGGGAGGTTGGTCTGCTACAACATACCAAGAAGCTAAATTTTTTGTTTCAACACGGATTGCTTTAGGCAAGCCCAGAAAACAAAACCAAAAACAAAAATTTCTTTTACTAGGGCCGTTTCAGGCAAGCCCAAAAAATTGGATTTTTTTTTCTTGCCGGCCAAGATGAGGTAGCCCAAAACTTTGGGGCTTAGGGTTAGCTGAGGAGCCCATAGGCTACAGGCCTGGGCGAGGTCGCAGGTTAAAAAAAAACCTTAGCGGCACCAGGTTTGTTTCCCGATTTCAAAAAAAATTTGCTCTTTTTTTTTTTTTTTTCAATTCAATTCAATTCATATGTAATTCAATTTGATGGATATGCAATTCAACTTTCATGCATGTACAGATATTTGGTGCAATTCATAACCAATATCAAATTCACATAATTCAACAATTATGATTATAATGCATACACAATTTATATAGAATCT